GACGGTAGCACAGCAGTGGCTGCAGGAATAGGAGCTCCTGGCTCCTCTAGCTCCATACCTCCTAGAGTGGGGGCTATGGCATAGGAGAACTGGCAGTACAACCTCCATGAAAGAGCAGTCGTGCAAGGAAAAGAAAAAGCACCAGCAGTTTAAAAATTTCAACCACTCTACACAAGCTTTTGGGGTGGAACATGAGGAACAGACCACAGCAGCTGACTGAGGACTTTTATGGGGTCAGAACTGAGTTATCCAAGCTGCGACATGGTCAGGGGACTGGCCCCACCGCAGTCTAAGACTGTAACAGGACCCCATGTCCACAAACACCCAATGCCTTGGTTTTGCATCTCCTCTGGCAGACGACCCAAGGGCCAGAGGGTCTCCCTTTGCTTTTCACAGGACAGACATCTGTATCAGCCACCAACTTCTTATGAGACCTGGGCTCTTCACAGCAGCTTGCAACACAAGCACTGACCCCATCAAACTTACAAGGTGGTTGCTAGTGTACACAGAGTATTTGCAGCCACAGCCCAGCCCTGGGACTACACCTGTTGGGCCATACTGCTTGTACCCCACTTCTCCCTGACACTTGTCTCCATCTGCTGAGGCACGACGTCCAGCTTCACTGTTTCTCTCCCCCACCTCTGATGCCAGAGCATGGGAGAGAGATGGCACCTTTGTTGTAAGTGGGGCCTAAATGACACAGATCCTCAAGGGCCTACAGTACAAAAAGCAGGTCAAGTTAAGAAGAAACACATAGTTTTACTGTTTGCAAGTACATGAACAAGGATTCTCTCCCTGCCCTCACCCACACTGCCAGGGTTGGGCAGGGGAGGTCAGAGCACGTGAAATCATTTCCTCAGCCAGAGCCATGTGTTGATGAGGCAGGCGGAGATCAGCACGGAGTAGACCAGGGCCTCCTTCTGCCGCCAGGCATTGCACTGCTCCTCCAGCACACAGAGCCTCCCCGAGATCCTCGTCAACTGCAAGGGAAGCAGTGGGGCTGCTGTCAGCCCTGCAGCAAAGTGCAGGACACTGGCTACACCCCAGAGGTGTGGGACAGCAAGGGATGGAGGGATTGGAGCTGCCATCTCCTTCAGGGCCTCCTTTTCTAGAGCAGCAGCTATCTTTGTGTGGGAGAATTAGCAGCAGTACCTCAGCTCCTGAGCACATACTTCAGGAAAAGGTCCTTCCCATCAGAAGAGCATCTGAGCCCTTTACTGCCAGCAGATGGAGGGGTCTGGCTGTCTCATGTAGCCCCTCAGCCCCTCAGGATAGGAGCTTGATGGGTCAACACACATGTAAGTCCTCCCCTGCTTCTCCATTAGCAGCATCAGCAAGGACTAGCTTGGCAACGCCAGCCCATCAGGACTGAGCAACAGACCCCTGGAGCCCCCTCATCCACCCTCCCATAGCTTTCCCAGGAAACATTTTCAGCCCTTCACCTCATCTCACCTGCTTTCTCATTGCTGCCATCTCAGCCACCCCGACCTCCTCCAAGGCACTCTCTGGGCCTGGGCCAGTCTCCTGGGAGCTGGGGAAGAAAAACAGAGATGCAGACGGACAAACACTTCTTGAGAGGTGAAATCGCCTTCCTGCACACGCGGCACTGCCACGGGGAGCCAAGCCATGCAGGTAGCATGTGCGTGTCCAGGGTGTGCTGTCTGGATGCAGTATCCAGAGAGAGGAAACATCACCTGCACAGCATCTACTCATCTCTTCTTAACCCCTATCATGCAAATTTATACCCCTCCACCATGCATCCCGTAGCGATCACAACAAAACATACAGCACATGCCATGACAGACAACAGGTAAAACACATGCCTGTATTTCTTTAGAGGTCCAACAGAGAGAAAACACAATATTTACCAAGCATCCATTCTCTATAAGTCAGGGGAATTCATTGAGGGTTGGATAAATCATCTTCAGAGCCAGTCAGGTAAATATGTATCACAGGGCCAATACCGAAATGGAGGGATGATCTCATTTACATCAGCAGGAGAGGATCCCACTGCTGGGAAGCAACCATCAGCTGGGGGAGACTATCTGAGCAAGTGCATCAGCCAGCAGAGGGTCCTGTGTTTGCCGAGACATGGATTTGTTCCTCTCCAGTATCTCCAGATACCACGAGCTCACTTTCCCCACCCTACCCACCCCCACCCCACGACAAAAAAAAAAAAAGTATCACTTTTTGGTCTTATAGCAAATTTTACCTGCAACTCAAAACATAAACAAGCAACCCAAGCATGCAACACTTTCTTCCATCCCTGGAAACAAAGGGGCCACCACTGGGATTAGCTGCTGCACTGGCAGAGGCAACACAAACCATGGATCTCCAGGGCATTCCCTGGAGACACAGCCTTGCTGCAGGGCCCACAGCACCAAGCCACAAAATAAAGTATATCCACAGTGAGAAAGATCAAAATTGCCATGTTCTGTCTGTTGTTCCTACTACCTTAGGCTAGCCCTACATCAGTTCTGCTATAATCAAAACTCCTCTATGCACACCAATAACTCACATGGGCACTTGCTGATACCGTACAGGTTAACGAGTGTCTAACATCACTTCTTCGGAGACCTTGGGGAGGAGAAGGTATTTATTCCTGTTTGCAACATGATGTTGATCTCACTGAAGACAAGGCAGAACAGCACTTGGAGATTCAATGAATCTCTGCCTGAAAATACATCTCTGAGATAATACCGCCACGTAATGTAGCTGCGGTGTAAAATGAAGTCACAACAGAAAGAAAATCCAATTTCCCCCAGCACAGAGCCATTAAAAAGGGAGACATCCTGCAGCTTTGGACTGAAAAATCCCAGTTGATACAGGTGAACACCCTTTAGAGTAGAGACTAGAAATTACTTTCATTACTCATACCTTTCAAGAGGTCACTGTCAGGCAAATATTCCAGTCTCTGTTCAAGACTAGACTTTTCTTTATTAAAATTTCAGAACAAACAAGTCAGCTCAGTCATTTTTTTATTTTTATTGTTGCATAGGGGTACAAAGTTGTCATATTGAAGAGAAACCATATGCATCTGAAGTGATACAAAGTACCCAGGAGAGGTGGTTCAAGGTGGCTGGCTTCAAAGGGAGATCGAAACTCGGGGAGAGGCCTGGGACTCACCCCACTGCATTACAGCAGCTCCACAAGCTACCACCTCTAATGGTACCATGGCCTAAACCTCCTCTGCTGCTGATGGGAAGAGGGAGAAGGTCTTATGTAGCCACTAATCAGATCTGTTGGCCTGCCTAGAGTTCAATTAAAAAGAAAAAAAAAAGTGACATTTGAAGACAATCAGCCTACTGTGGTTAAGAGCAGGGACATCACTTTGTATCACCCGTAGGCAGAAGCCAGGTCTGCTGCCTGCACGTCCGCACCAGCTGGGGAGGGAAGGCAGAATGTGCCACTGATGGCACGGATGATGGATGTGCACTCTCCTTCCTTTCTGCCTGAAGGCTTTCCTCAAGGAGAATTAGAAGTATTTAAACATTCCTCTGGGTGCTCAGCAGCCTTAGAGCAGTGGGGACACCTTAAGGCTGCAATGATGTCTTTGAACATGTTAAATTTGCACAGACAACAGCATGGTGGAGACAGTTGCTCCAGCACATCTGGAGAGATTGAGGTCATTGCATACCTGCTCCAGTGAGCATGCAGGCATACTGCACCCTGGCCAGAAGCATCGGCTATGGGATGAGTAACTCGATGCAGCCATCGAGTTACTCATCATGGAAAAGGTTAATTAAGGGTGACCACCTTAGGCTGGCTGCACCAGCGCTCCTGGGCCAGGCACCCAGAGCTGGCAGACAGGACAGGTGAGGAGGAGAATCTGGGGCAACCATGCAGGACCAGCCTGCTCCTGCGCCCTGCAGTTAACAGAGCTCATGCCTGGCTCATGCCTTAGCAAGGTAAATGCAAGTCCTTGCAGAGTGACAGAGAGGTGGCTTAAGATGAACTGAAGACACCTGGATGGCACTGTATCTTGCAGAGACCCCTGGACATGGCAGAACAGCACCTGGCCAAGGTGGTACATGGTCTGGAAGATGTTCTGTATGGAGTAGAACCTGCCTGTCTCTGCGAGGAGGGGGAATGGGGCACTGCATGCAGGCAGGGGGCACGCATCCAGCCTGGGGTGCACACAGAATCATGCCTGTTATTTCCTGGTCTCGTACAGCACGGGCACAGCCTGGTATTTCATAGAATCACAGAATCATAGAATG